TGAACTTCTTTATATTGTATGAAAGAATACCCAGTTCATGTAATCTTTAAACCCTGGAAACATCCTTCCAAAGTCCATAACAGTATCATGAAAGGTGTTGTGATGGAAAATTACTAAGCTATGTACTTTTGTTTTTCTCATGCAATGTACGTCTGTTTCTCAGGCTCAAAACTATGTGCTTGCATAGCTACTGTAGAATCATTGTATGTATCAAGGTATACCCTGTCCTAGCCAAAGGGCAAATTCCTGTATGTGACATTCTGGCAGGTTATCTTGTGAAACTATGAAACTCACCCCCACCCTATCCCACCCTAAAGATTCTGGGAATCTACTGTGTGTACACCTTTTATTTTGGTTGTGGTATGAATGAACCATAAGCCTTACAGAGACATCTGTATTGTAAATAATTGTGCACGAGGCCTGTGTTAGACATGGGTTCAAAGAGTAGTAAGAAGGTTGGACCTCCAAAGAGACCAATAGTGGACACTATGTGGAAAAAGTAGGCCTATGGACCAGAATGTCTTGATGTTTAAATGTCTGGGTCAAATAATTTGGGTTCCCTGAGGGTGGATCCTTGAGCACTGCAAAAAGAATTAGAGAATGCCTTGGAAGAAAAAGAAAGCAAGTTAAGGAAGAAAAAGAAAGTGTCTGTTAAACAAAGTAGAAAAGCATAAAGAATGTCTAAGTGGAAAAAGGAAGCAAGAAGAAAACAAATGCAAAAAGAAATGCCATCCTCAGTAGAAAAAAAGAAGAGAAGACAAAACCAGACAACACACCCACACAAACAGAATGCTCGCTAGTCTCTTCTCTGTATTCGCAGCTTGCAGCCCTAAGGCTGGACCCGGATCTCAATGCCTATCCGCCCATTACTGCTCCACCACCGCCATACCTGCCTGGGCAGGAAGAACGTTGACAACCTCAGCAACCACCACAGAGGGAGACAGAGTGGTGACCAGCGGACTCTACTACCACTGCCAAAACTGAAGACAGCGCAACTGACCTGCCCTACATGGATGTTGCTTCACCATTGCCAGACCCTAAATTCAGCTTCTCACCAATAGCCTAGAGAACTGGCCTGCAGAGACCTGATCTGGTTCTCAGCATGCCACCAGTCAAGATGGCAGACCCGCATGGTTCAATGCTTGTCTTCCGCTCCTGGAGGACAGAAGATATAACAGCGCCTTCTAAACACCTCCCAGACCCTACAGCTTCAGGACAAAGGTTTGCTGAGCAGCTTGTCCTATTCTCCCAAGAGCTCAGACCAACCACACCTGAGCTGAAGAGACTTTTGGTGTCCAGGATGAAACCCTCTAACTGGCGGAAAATTGCAGGCAAGTTTCCTGTTCATGATTGTCACTATTAACTTGTAGACTGGGGCCATGATGATAATGTAGACTACAGAAACACCATGCAGGCTCAGGCTGGGGAATTTACCATCTCTTTCCCCACCAAAGTCAACATGACAAAAAATCACCTCATAAACAGAAGGACACTGCAACTCTAGATGAGTACCTCCACTGTGTCAAAGAAGTGTTCACCATAGTGGTCTCCAACAGCCAGAGGACTTGGACAGCACTGCAGGGCTGTTGGGAGACCCATCCCTGTAACAGTTTTCTGAATGGACTGAGACTTGACATTGCAAGTGTATTGAAGGAGGAGAGAAATCAGAAGGTGCCCAAGGTAGGGGAGGAGGCTTCACTCACAGAGACGTACATATGTTTTCTCTGTGGCCAATAGGGACATTGGGCTTGAGACTGTCCAAATAAGGACATGCCATCTCCCACCGACTATCTGACTGAGGGCATGAGGGCAGAGAAGGGAGCCACACCCAAACGCTGCTGCCGGGAGGCCAGAGGAGAGAGATGATGCACGCACACACACACACACACACACACACACACACAGTGAAGCAATGCTCGCTGAATACATCCAAATCACCACTGACAGATTACAAACATAACTAAGTCCAGCCCTAAAACAGTGACTAAAATTAAAATTGAGTTTCAGCTGTTAAATCTGGATTAAAACTGAGACAAAATAAATGACTAAACCAATTACAATTATGAAGCAATGACTAAAACTAAACTGAACATTCCTGTCAAAATTAACACAGTTTCCCATGTGTGTTATGGGACAATACAGAAAATCATTAAATATCTGAACTGGACATGAGGCTAATTGCAGAGATAAGTGCAAACAAGGAAATTTAAATGATGTGTGCTCTTTAGAAAGGTGCTTTGTGTGGTTTTGCATGTTTTTCTTTTTTTTTAAGTACACTATCCATATCTCTGCTTATAATAAAGATTAACATTATACAAATGCTGTTAGTCTGCTGTCTAATGATACAATTATGGTATCAGTTTGTTTTTGTTGTGCAAGATTAATTAAGTTAAATAGTCTACAGGTGTTATCAGAAGCGTGTCTACTTTTAATGAAGCCTGTTTGGTCTGGGTGCATTATTATTGGAGTAACTGTCTCTATTCTAGTGGCTAGTGCTTTGGTGATAATTTTTAAATCCATGGTAATAAGTGACAGTGGACGGTAACTGGAAGGGTGGGTTGGGTCTTTATTGGGTTTCAAAAGGAGTGTCAAAGCTGCCGTATTCATATGTATCAGATAGTGTTGGTAATTTTATGTTGTTTAGGAGAATATCTATTTCAGATGGATTTGGTTCGTGATCAGAGGAGTATAGTTTGCTAAAAAAATGTTTAAAATACATTAATATCCTGTGGATTATGAACAGTTTCACCATTAGAGTCAAGTATGGTTGTAATGATTGCCTTTTCTTTTTTACATTGTAGTTGATTGCCAAATATTTACCTATCTTGTTACTACGTTGAAACTGTTCTAATTTGAGTTGTTAGATTAGGAAAAAAACAAGTGTGGCTTGTGGCTTGTTTGTGACAACAATATCACAAATTCTCCACAAATGTGTGGGGTTTGTGTGGGAGGGTTGCAAGAAAAAAGCCACTCCTCAAGAAAGGCCAAATGCAGTCATGACTGAGCTTTACCAAAATACATGAGGTCACATGGAAAAAGGTGTTATGGTCAGATGAGACTAAAATGGAATTATTTGGCCTAAACACCAAATGATTTGTCTGGTGGAAATCCAATACAGCTCACCATCCAAATAACACCATTCCTACAGTAAAGTATGAAGGTGGTAATATCCTGTTTATGGGGGTGTTTCTCTGCAGCAGGGACTGGAGCACTTGTCAGGATAGAAGGAAAAATGAACGGGGCAAAATACCTTCAAATTCTAGAGGAAAATTGGCTGCCCTCTGTTGTTAATGGGAAGAAGGTTTAACCATCCAACATGACAATGACCCAAAGCACACAACAAAAAACGACCACACAGTGGTTTGCATGGCCTAGTCACAGCCCAGACTTAAACCCCATTGAAAATCTGTGGAATGACTTGAAGACTGCAGTCTACAAATGGTCACCATCAAATTTAATTGAACTTGAGCAGTTCTACAAGGAAGAATGGGCAAATATTGCAAAGTCAGGGGTACACCATGGACAGGTCGCCAGTCCATCGCAGGGTCAACATACAGACGAACAATCGCTCACACACTCCTACAGGCAATTTAGAGTCACCAATCAACCTGAGCCACATGTCTTTGGACTGTGGGAGGAAGCCAGAGTACCCGGAGAGAACCCACACAAGCACGGCGAGAACATGCAAACTCCGCACAGAAAGGTCGCAAACCCACATCCTTCTCGCTGTGAGGCAACAGCGCTAACCACCGTGCCACCCAGAATAGTTTATTAAATTGTTTAAATGTGAGGTTTTATAGTTCAGAAGTTGTTAAGTGAGTTTCCTATATGAAGCATATAGCTGCCTTTAATTTTGGCCTGGGTCCCGAAGCCTCACACATTCCACTAATTTAAGTGACTCTATGTTTGTTAAATATGCTTTTGTGAGGTTAAAAAAAGTTTTTTTTGTTTGTTTTTGTTTTAAAGAAAGTAACATACAGTATATTTTGAAGAGGGGAGATGCAGTATAAGGAGGAGAGGGAACAAGAAAGAGTAAATAATGTAGAGCTATAGTGTTGTGTATGCATGTGTGTGAATGTGGGCATGTGGGTGTTTTATTAGCTGAGGGCGACTGAAAATGAAACACTGTGTCAAATGGAAAACGTGAGGTAATGTTGAAATAAAAAAAACCATAGAAAAAACAGACAAATGCACATACAAACAAGCATTGTGCAACAGACAAGGTAACAAGGGAGGAGCGTCCAGGACAGGAATGTTTGTAGGAGGCCATGTGAGATATTTTTATGTGTATTTATATGGCGAGAATGCTGGTCGGGTATCCTTTAAAAGAACCTATATTATAAATCTGGTGGCATGCTATCATTACAGTTTGTTTTCACATTGTGAGTGCCAAACACAAAGTAAATGAACAATGTCGCCTACCTTTTAAGAGCCAGTTCAATGCTGACCTGTTGCAAAACCCAAGTAAAGCAATAGGTCTCTAATTTGCACATGCCACAATGCACATACCAACATTGGCATTTTAGAGCCCACTCACAGCTAACACTAGCCAGCAGTAGCTACGGGTTGTAAAATCCAAAAAATAGCTAGTGAAGTGTTTGTTTATTCTCAGTGGCTGTGTGTCACCATGTTGAATACCCCCCGCACTGTCTCGTGATCTCGCGATACTCATCTTTCCACTCAGTCCTCTTCACAAGACAGCAATGGAAATAGGTGCTTGGTGTGTTTAGCTACACTAAGAGACAAATTTAGCCATTTTAATTTTGTGTTAAAATCTTTTCAAATTTCTGAAAATTTCTTTAATCCATGTTCATTTTATGTTCAAAACAACTGATGAGTTTATGTTAATTAAGACATGCTTTTCCCACTTGTGAGATTCACAGCCCAGTGTACTGTTAAGTTAATCATTAATGATAATAAAAGAGAACATTATATCACACAGGGTCACTGGGCTTCCAGCCAAGCCTTCCGTGAAGTTTGGGCCCAGACGAGCCTCAGCGGCTATACAGGGAGCAGACATGGATCGGCAGCTCAGCAGACCAACATGGAGCAGGCAGATTGAGTTCACTCTGGCTGGGATTGGCTGTGCTGTAGGTCTGGGCAATATATGGAGGTTCCCTTATCTCTGCTACAGGAGTGGAGGAGGTGAGAAACCAGGCATTCATCCTGGTGCCTGGTATCATAACAGAGTTATGGTACCAGACCATCCTTTTTACACACATAATGTACTGTACCTAGGAACAGCTCTCAAAACTGGGTCCAAAGGTTAACATGTATTTTGCTAAACTTTATTCTGTAGTAATACTGACTGTGTTAAAAATGTTCAAATTGTACAATTCTGATCACAGGTTCTGAATGATTTAAGTGCATCTCATATAAAAATGTTTAATATGCCCCTATTATACTCTGCGGTTGTGCATGTACAGTTGATTGGAGCATTGGTTTACAATGATAAAGCTGGCTATTACAAATGACCCAGTACACAGTGAAAAGAAAGACAAGTGCAGGATGATTTTCACAGACTTTAAAGATGAGAGGAAATCATAAAACGAGCACATTCGTAACCTCTTCAGTCAGAAAAATGAGCATTACAGGTGAATTATTTACAGGTGAATTATGTTGTGAAACTTAATGAGTGATATATCCTGCACTTCCCTTAACCATCACCAAGCATAGCCTTCGGGTTGATGTGCACCATTCTGCTTTGTTTTTCCACTGTATTTTCTCTCTCTTGGTCCCTGTTTAAAGGAGGGATGGGCTGCTCCCCTCTCCCTCACACAGTCAGCTGTGTGTTTACAAACACATGTAGTACTAATGCTTGAGGTGTGAAGATGCAGACATTTAACCAATCACTGGTGATTGCTCTGTGTGCACGCACACGCTCCCCCCTCATTTTCCTGGCACTTGATTTTAGTTCTGTCTCCTCAAGGGTGTTGAAATTTAGCTCCCAGAACTCACCCCTCAAAGCGTGCGCACACCATACTGGAAACATACCCAGAGCCTGTGATGAGCATCACAGTACGGTCCTATAATGCAAAATCCCCTTACTGTCACTTCCTGCCAGGTGCCTTTCTGGTGCCATACCTGCTTATGCTGGTGGTGTTGGGGATTCCTCTGCTCCACATGGAGCTGACTGTGGGTCAGTACACGAGGAGAGGGCCTGCCCATGCCCTAGCTAATGTCTGCCCATTGTTAAAAGGTACTGTGTGGCATAAATGGTGTCCAAACTGAAATATAGACATTTGTCTGACTGTGAAAAACATTATTGATTATTGATGTTGTTTTTGTCTGTCCTCAGGAGTGGGTGTGGCATCAGTGGCAATCTCCTTTATCATGTGCACTTACTACAATGTCATCATCACCTGGGCTCTTTATTACCTCTTCAACTCTTTCCAGTCACCCCTACCCTGGCAGAACTGCAACAATACCTGGAACACACCTAACTGTACCAATCATGCCACCAACAACAGCTTCTCCTCAACACCTAGCTACGAGTTCTTCAAGTACATTTTACTATGTGGGAAAAAAACTGCACTCATCCTCAGAGTTATAATAACAGACTAGAAAATTAATAGATTACAGTAGGATTACATCATCCCTGTAGCTTGACGAAACTGGGCTGGTTGCACAAAACACATTCTAGTGATTATATTAAGGGTAACTTAATCATTTGTTTAATGTAAAATGTTTATATGTATCAAAATGTAAACAAGTCAAACGGATGTTGTCTCTGGTTTTGAACTGGATAAACTGGAAAAGTACTGAGATTAGTTTTCCATCATATAGTATGCCATTTTGAAGATTTTCATAGAAAACCTAAATATTTCATTGTGGATAACTTGCTGTTTTGACTGTGGAGTGAAACCTCCTGTTTTCAGTTTACTTATTAAATTGTTAGTGGATAAATGTAGAAATTGAATGTAAGTTTACAACTATTGAAGCCATGTGTAATGTGTCAGCCAAGAAACTGATTCTTAAATACCAGTGAACGTGTGATGGTGACTGCCACAATTACACAGTGACAGCTTAGAAAAACTTTCAAGGAGAACACCTTGTTTGGTTGACACACGGATACTATGGATAGACAAACACAGTCCTGCTCACACCTGCTCCAGCGTGGCAGAAGGATGATATTTCCACTCGTAAGAAAGCAATTTGTCTCAATTGAGATCACAATAATTTTATATCATACTGCCATTTTCTTACACTTGCAGTAGAGAGGTCCTGGGCCTCAAATATAAGAGGGGTACATTCTGGGAGATACTGTAGATACTTACAAAGGGAGTCAAAGATATTAATTTGTTCCAAAATAGAACAAACACTGTGGTACAGGACGTGGGAGAACAGTTTGAAATTGCCAGTTTGCTAATGTGTTCAACTTTGAGACAGAATAATCAGGATTAATGTAGAATGTAAATGTCTTAGAAGATCCAATAACTTCTACTTTCTCTCTCTTCTTTTTGGCTTCTTTGAAGATATAAGATGCTGGAGCAGACTAGTGGACTGGAGGAGACAGGAGTGATGCGTTGGGAGCTTTTCCTTATCCTCCTCCTGGCTTGGATCCTCCTGTACCTTTGCATTTTCAAGGGGGTGAAATCAACAGGCAAGGTGAGGGAAAAGAGAGACATACAGGGACAGAGACAAGGAGTGAGACATACAGTCAGTACAGAAGGTTTTCAGACCCTTTCATGTTTAAAATGGATTCAATTCATTTTTTCTTATCGATTTGCATATAATACTCCACAATGATAAAGCGGAAACAGGGTTTGGGAGTGTTTTGTAAATGTATTAAAAATAAAAGACTGAAATATCCCATTTACATAAATATTCAGACCCTTCACTTGGTACTTGGTTAAAGCAATGACAGCCTCAGTCTTCTTGAGAATGAAGCTGCTGGCATGGCATCTTTCTTTTGGAATTTTCTTCCAATGTCTTTAGGCAAAATCATTCAAGGTCTCCCAGGTTGGATGGGGAGCATTGGTGCACAGCTCCAGGACTTTCACGGAGTTTTCCTGATGTCACTCTTGTGTTTTCTTGGTGGTATCAGGAAAAGAGGTTGTTGAGGTTGTTGTCTTGTTGAAATGTAAACCTTCACCCCAGCCTGAGATCCAGAGCACTCTGGAAGGTTTTCATTCAGAATTGCTCTGTATTTTATGCATCCCTCCTTCCCTCTATCCTGATTAATTTCCCAGTACCAGATGCAAGAAAACATTCCCACAGCCTGATGCTGCCACCACCATGGTTTACTGTAGGAATGGTATTAGTGAGGTGATGCTCAGTACCTGCTTCCTCCACACACACTGCTGGGAATTGTGGCCAAATAGTTCAGTCTTTGTTTCATCAAACCAGAGGATTTTGCTTCTCATGGTCTGAGAGTACTTCAGATGCCTTTTGGCAAACTCCCAGGGGGCTCTCATGTGCCTTTTAGTGAGGAATGGCTTCTGTCTGGCCGAATGGGTGGAGTGCTGCGATGATGGTTGTCCTTCTGTAAGGTTCTCCCATCTCCAGAAAGGAACTCTGGATCCCATTCATAGTGACCCTTGAGTTCCTGGTTACTGGTCTGACCAAGACCCTTCATCCCTGACTATTTTGGCTGGGCAGCCAGATCTCTGATGACTGTTGGTGGGTCCAAATCTCTTCCATTTGAGAATGACAGAGGCTACCATGCTTCCTGGGCACTTTCAATGCTGCAGAAATGTTCATGCATCCTTCCCCAGATCTGTGTCTTGACACAATCCTGTCTCATGGATTTTGTTTTCACTCTGACATACACCATCAGCCATGAGATCTTATATAAACAGGTGTGTGCTTTTCCTAATTATATCCAGCACATTACATTAGGCTCAGGTGGACTCTAACCTAGTTGTAGAAGCATGCCAACCACCACTGATAGCAGTAGGATGCACCAGAGCTCAATTCCTAAAAAAGGGCTTGAATGCTTATGTAAATGGGATATTTCAGTGTTTTATTTTTAATAAATTTATAAAACACTCCAAAAACCTGTTTTCACTTTATCATTGTAGAGTATTGTGTGTAGGTTTAAAAATTTAACTGAATCAATTTTAAAATGAGTCTGAAACATAATAAAATGTGGAAAACTGAATAGTTTCTGTACTGACTGTATGGACAGACAGTGAACAGCAACCCTTGTTTTGTTTCTGTGTGTAGGTGGTGTACTTCACCGCTCTGTTCCCGTATGTTATCCTCATTGCCCTGCTGATCAATAACATGCAGCTTCCTGGTGCATTAGATGGAATAACCTTCTTCATTGTGCCAGAATGGGACAAGCTGCTTTCAGTGGAGGTAAGAAAAAAGAATAAGCAAGAAAGGAAATGAGTAAAGGCTTTGCCTGACCTACCTGGTACAGGAGAGCAGTTAGCATAATATTTGTTAGTGATCATTGGTACTGGATGTAATCAGCAGTGACCAGTAGTTTTAGATGAACATCCCTCTGTATGGCAGGTGTGGGTGAATGCTGCAGCTCAGATCTTTAACTCCATTGGGATTGGCTTTGGCTCCCTTTTGGCCATGGCCAGCTACAACTCCTTCAACAACAACATTCTGAAGTAATCAACCCCCCGCCCCCCAAAAAATCCAGTGGCTATTATGATCTATGGGCAATAAGGTGACATAATGTATATCTTCCTTGTAGGGACACCCTGACAATATCCCTTGTCAACTCCTTCACTAGTATCCTGGCAGGTTTTGTCATTTTCTCTGCCTTTGGATACATGTCTCATTTGCAGGGCATTCCCATCAGTGATCTGGCTGTGGATGGTAAGTCAATAAGCATGCAGTGCAACTGGAAACCCACTATCCCACTGATTTAATGGTTAACTCACATTTCAAAGATATATTTTGATATTGAGACCATTAGGTATTTGTCAGTTGTTTCAGAGTGGTTTTGCTGGAGCTCTTTCCATCACAATTATGATTTCATGTCATAATTCATGCTTTAGGAGGGCCACGATTTTCTTTTTTTCCATCAGTAATGCTACAATGACATTATGCGTTTGTGTATCTAGGTCCAGGCTTGGTTTATGTTATTTACCCACAAGCCTTTGCCAACATGCCATTGGCTCAGCTCTGGGCTGTGATGTTCTTCTTCATGCTGCTTTGCCTAGGACTGGACAGTGAGGTACATCATGGTGGAATCAGAGAAACAACATAACTCCCCGATTATTTGTACTAATCTTAAAGAACAACAATATAACTTTAGAATAATTTTTTTTCTTTTTTTGGCAGTTTGCAATGGTTGAAGTGATGGTGACCAGCCTCATGGATGAATTCCATCAACATCTGATTAAAATTTTCAAGTGCAAGGAGCTGTTTGTTCTTGCTATTTGTGGTGGAGCATTACTCTTAGGAATTCCTTGTGTTATGCAGGTACAGACTAATTTGTTGGATGTCTTTAACCAAATTATAGCCAAACTTTAAGATCCCAAGTCTCACTTATCCTGTTATCCTAAATAGTGTATTTCTTTCTGTCCAGGTGGGAATCTATGTATTTCAGCTGATGGACCATTACACCGCTATAGTGTCCGTCATGTTTCTTGCATTCTTTGAGGTTATAGCCATCTGTTGGAGTTATGGTAAGAAGAATATGTTCAGCTATCTAGCTACTTTTAGTGGTCAGTTAATGTGATGATATAAAGTATTACACTCGACAAATAAGCTATGCATGTTTTATTTATTGTCAGGTGAAGGTCTGTCTAAAGTACTCTTCCATGTGCAGGTGTGAATCGATTATCAGACAACCTCAAAGAGATGACTGGAGAAAGAGCAAACATCTTTTTCAGGCTGTGTTGGTTAATAGTTGCTCCTGTGCTGATTACTGTAAGTCAACAGGCTATCTTTTTAAACATGGACATGAGTTTGACTTGACTGTGAAAAAGCTCACGACTTCATTATTCCTGCTTGCGGCAGGTTATCCTCATTTTCTCCATCATCCAGTTCAAACCGGCCCACTATGAAAACTATGTCTTCCCGCCCTGGGCTCAGGGAATAGGCTGGATTATTACCTTGGCCTCCATCATCTGGATTCCACTGGGTGCCATTCACACACTGTGGGTGCTGCCTGGCTCATTCATGCAGGTGATATACCTTTATCATGTACCTTTTTTCACCTGAGAACACAGCATGTACTGAATGTTATCATGTCATGATCATACAAAATCTAGCTGTGTTAATATTTTTGGTACAACTCTCCAACAGAAAGTCAAGCTGTCTATCACACCATGTACACTGGATGAGATGTCAAAAATACCATATTATGAGAGGGGAGGAAAAGATGGCTATCCAGTCATAGCTGTTGCTAGCTCCAACATCCATCTACCAGAAAAACCTCCTGTTCAGACAGAGCTCTGATAAATCTTTTTGCTCAGCATAATCCTCATCTATTCACCATCAGTCCCAGATATTTAGCAGGCTAACCAGAAATTCTTTGCAGTTAGTTTTAAAGTTGCATTAATTAACTTATCCCTCTAATTTTCAACCATTAAGAGTTGAGAATCAAAGCAAACTCAACCAGTATCCCCTCCTCTTTGCCCCCCCTGCCCTGTCTCTGAAACTACATCATATGTGTTCATGACAGCCGGAGACAGTTGTGGCAGTCAGGTAGTACAGCAGTAATAGCCAGCTCCAGAATTATTGTATACAGAATATAGAGCCCATAGAGCCTGTGGTTTCCAGTGACATAGCAGCAACACAGTGTCGAGTAAAGGTGTTTACATTTTAGTAATATGTATATGTATGTCTGACGATGTTTGCAGCGGATGTATCTGCAGTAACACAAGCAAATTATACAACAAAATATTTTCACCCAGCAATACTGAGGTAGTACTACTGTTCGGGCCATTATTACATCATGTTCAGTGCTACATACTTGACACATATAGCCCATGAGTTGTATGTGAAACGAGGAATTTCATGTTGTGCTTTGATAGTTGAACAAATTCCTGAGTTTTCTAGTTGTGTTGATGGTGTAAATTTTAACTTCTCACTAAAATGCTAAATGGACTGGACTGTTATGTCCGAAATAAACTGGACCAAAACTAAGCAAAAATAGCTAAATTACTCCATTTGCTAATCCAGGAAAACACGCTGGTTTCCACTAATTGGACAACAAAACACTAATGCTGCAGTCAGTTGGAATGACTACAAATTACAATCAGAATAGTTCAGTACAAAATTGAAATGCCATGGTTGGCTTGCTAATAATACTGACATATACATGTTAGCCAGTTACAGTACTTGTGTGTCTAGCAGGAAGAAAGCCAAATTTTAGTCCTTCGGATACTTTTAATACTCTCCATCTCCGACATGGTTTGGGACAACAGGGAAAAAACACTTCTAGACAATTTTTACTTGATTTACTCAAATTTATGCTAAATCTTAGTTAATGCAGCTTTAAATCTTGAACAAACACTTGGTAAGCTAATTAGAAATCTGCTACAAAAATTGTGATCCAGGGACCACCACTCTGACTAAGACGTAACCCAAGGACCACTGTTATGGGGCGGCTGTAACGGATGGGCACTATATAATCCTGAAAGTCACCTTGATTTTTCTAAATTATTTATATTTGCATGAATTTGATTATTCACAAACAATAAGTAATACATGGAAATGAGTTTTAAAATGAAATTAAAATTAAAGTTAAAAAAGGTTCCTACAGTGAAACTACATTATTGGATATGTGATCGGGGGTCACCTGCGATGCCTTTGTGGACCACCAGGGGGCTAGGGACCACTGGTTGAAAACCCCTGGCCAAGTCAAGAATCTTTGTCATTATGCATAGCACAACGAAATTTTTTCCAGCAGCTCTCGGCTTAAAAGACACATTATTTACATAACACAATTGTATAAGTCAATATAAAAATATGAACAAATAAAAAAGGATGTATGGGCCCTAATCAGGTCAGCAGCATGTTAGCAGCAAAAGAGTGTAGTGACGTTATAGGCTGCAGCTCAGTGCAAATCTGTCTTTTGGTTTACAGGATTGTGAAAATGATTCACACCGTCTACCATGCAGATACTTAACCTGATCATTTCTGAGTGCCTATGGATTTGGTTGATCTTTGAATAGCTGCTTGTGTTAACTGCTTTATTTTTAGTATAAGCTGTTGTAAACAGATAAAGTGTTTATAATCTGCACTGTGTATGTGATGTGTATCTTGTATCTGTTGCTAAAAGGACCCAGATCATACACTTCATTGTGCTCATTTGTGGACTTTACTTTGCTGAGGGTTCCATCTTTCAGCCATGTCTGCTAATGCATTTGTTAATGTTGATACGTCTGAGATCAGGCACTGTACTGATTAAAGATAAAGCACTATAAACCAGTTCATAGTGGCCAACTCATTTATTGGGTTTAAATGCAACAGGGCGCTGCTGAAAAAAAAATCTTGTGGTTAACATTTGAGGACATGGGTCATGCAGCTCTGTAATGTTATTTCTTTGATGGCAAACTGATGTGAACAGCGATTCTGGTGAACACAACACAAAATGTAACTTAGATCGGGGCAAATGTTTTCATTTAATGAGAAGTTTACACTAAAAGGTACACATTTCTAAGGGATACTTGTGCACCAAGTTAGTTTCCTCCCCAACATAAGTTGCTGATGTTTTCTTTTTTTTTTTAAACTACTGACAAATTAATCCAAAGTGCAGAACCATAATTACACAGGCAAAAAGATGGACTGTAGAAACTTGTGGGCTTAACAAAGGCAGATCTCTTTTATGCTTTTCCCAACTCTTTATATGGGCTCAAAAACTGAATAGATCCAAACAAGGGTAACAAAGTGTGAAAACAAGATGAACAGACTGTTGATAGCTAGTTATAGTGAGTGTGACATAGTACTGTCTCTGGTTAGTTACTGTAATCTCTGACCATAAGGTAAAATACTTGACCTACAAAAACAACAACAAAAAAAAAACAACCCCCCCCCAAAAAAAGTGCAATCAGTGGCATACCCTTACATCTGATGGTCATGCAGATGACCATGTAGCACAGCAGCAACTGTCTCCTTTGTTATTTGTTCCTACCATAGTTTGGGGTCAGCCCAATTCAGGACTGAGCTCAACAATTCACAAATACCAGGTTGTTGCATTCAGTAGTGATTCCAAAACTCCATGCGCTTCTTTTACAGCCTCCTTAAGGCTCTTATCCCTCCTTGATCACCTCCCTGCAAATCCAACAAAGCTGTAATTGATTTGTTTGATTCCCCACCCCACCCCTTTTGCCCAGCAGAGGTTGCTAAGGAGTCACCGTGGCTGCTCCTTGGATCTGGCTCACTGCTATGAGGCCTGCTCTACTGGCCTCATCTGCACATCTCCAATCTGTCAACACAAACAAGGGAGGTCATTACAGAAACTAAACAGCATTCAACACTGATGGCTATTAAAATAAAAAAAATTAGAAGAGAGAGGTACCTGGACATGAGGAGGGGCACTGAGGACAAATGTGACTGCAGTGGCTATATCTTCTGCTTTCAAACACTGAATAGTGGAGAAAAGAGGTGTTACTGATGCAGCAGTACTTGGGTTTATTTTCACTTTGTGAAATACAACTGTTGACTTTCAATCAAATGTGCACTCTTACTTTCATATTCTCATACACTGCAGCTGCTTTCTCTGGATCACTGTTGTGGAGCCTAAAAGCAAAATCAGTCTCCACTATTCCAGGAGATATACACTGCAAAGTGAGGGGAAATGCATGAGAAACTTACTGTTTGCTGTTGTTAGACTAATGCAAAGGCAAAACACACCTCATATTTTTAAGACCTACGGTATATAGTCATCTTTATGAGCCAAATTGTTACCTGACTTACCGTGGCTCTGATGTGAGTGTTTGCTGCTCGGAGCTCTTGTCGTATCCCCTCAGTCAGAGCAGTTACAGCATATTTAGTGGCAGCGTAGAAATGCAGTTCAGGACTTGGAGCTACTCTGTGCCCACTCATACTGTAACAGGCAGGAGGAAAGATAGAGAGAGGTGTATGTGTTATATTTTGTAGCTCAAGCTTGATTCAAACCCCAATTAAGGTAATGAATTCCTACAGACTGAATGACTTGTCATGTACTTTTAAATACCTTCAAATGCTCAGTTATACAGTAAAATTTCTCATGTCAGGTTTAATAGTATACTGTACAGTGACTCAGTGGGATATACAGGCCCACAACAGCGACAAAGACAATGACAATTGTGTCAGTTAATAAGACAAGGCAATACAAAATCCAACAAGTAAATAAACTGAATGCTGATATGTTAATGTGAATGAAATAGTGAAAAATAGACAAGTCCAGTTCTACACACTGTTTCCTGTCCACCAGGGGTGTGGCTCACAGCTGCCTGTACCTTAATGCCTGCTGGTCTAAACTGATCCTGAACAAAGTGGCTTAGGTAGTTTCAGATTGATCTATATATTTGCTCTGAGATTTCAAGGTTGTGTTGCTTACCTGTTAATATTGATGATGTGGCCATCGTCCACATTCCTCTCTTTCATTGATTTGTATGCTTCACGGGTGCAGATAGACAAAGCTAACACATTGACCTACAGAGAAGAAAAAGACAGCAAATTCATTTAACTATTCACATGTATGTATCGGCAAGTGTTCAGTAACAGTAACAAAAGCTGCCAAATTCATGCTGTGCCAAAAACAAACAAGTCATTTGCAAAACATCATTGTGTTTTATTTCCGAATTACATTTAAGAATGCCATGTGATGAAAGTGTACCAGCTCAGCTGACTGATGCTCACTGCATCAATGTGAGCACCTGAACCTGCTGGTCCTGTCCAGTTTGTTGCCTCTAAGCTGGTCTTGATGGTATTGGTATTGATAAACAGTAGGTTAAAAGTTAAACGGAGGCGGCCAAATATCAGTATACAGATTAAACACTGGCTAAAAATATGCTGCTATACACATTCATGAGGGGCGGTCATGACAACAGATGGACGAGTGCTGCGAATGCAGGACTCTGGAGACATTAGGGTAGGGGGTCTTCAATGGTCAAGAGCTCAATGAATCAGAATGTAAAGTCCCAACAAAAGAAATAGTGCTGGCGTTCATTAGTGGGGCTCTGCTCTGCCAAGGCTTCTCCTTGGAGCCAAAGCAGTACCCTCAATGAAGGGAG